CTCTTGAGTAAGATTTGACTGTGATCTCATAATCACAGTCTCTTGTGAATCTTCTAATTTTTCAAGGTCTTCTTCAGTTTTTATCGAATGTCAAACAATTCTCCGGCATGGACAAACTTTTTCAAACCTTTCTCGCGCATCTGACAACGGCTCAATGAGTTTTTCACAGCCTCGTACACATCACAGCTCAACACATCACACCTTTGAATTATTTGATAATCTCGAGACGATTCTTTCTTCTTGGAAACTTTTATTAGCTTTACATCTTCAATTATAGAATCATACTTTGGTTTGTTATTAAAACACTACGTATTATATTTTAAATCTTCGCTAAAGAGGTTTGCGAAGAATCTTTTCTTGATTTTACTCACCAATTCGGTGCTTGCTTGCATTCTAGGATTTAAATTTATCTACGTTAAAAGAAGGAGTGGGGAAAGGAAGTGAAAGAAACAAACTTTTGAACTTTAACGATACGGAAGCCGTTGATGTGCAGATTACCTAGATACTCTGCAAATTACCTAGGTAATTTGAGAAATTGAACAATATTCGCAGCTTTAACGGATCACCCTAGTTAATCTGCAGATTAGCTGGGTAATGTACTGTACCTAATAACAAAAATTCTTACGTAACTCGAGTAAAATTAATATGAAGACCTAATTTTGATATAGGAAGTTACCTCACAATAATTTAGTATATTATAATTTTTATTTGTAATAAGAATTTATTAATTTATTATTTTACCATAGAATGACACGGAACGCGTGCCCCGATATCTGCACTGGGCCTTTTGACTGGTTTTTTTTATAAATTCGATATTAGATATATATAATTTTTATTTTTTAAATATATTTGTTTGTCTGTTCTCTTTTTTATGATATAAGAAACAAGTTTATCAAAATCAACGCGTGGTTAATTTAAAAAGCCAGAGTGGGTCCGTGTTTGATCCACGGGTTGATCCACAGAGTGGGTCCATAGGTTTGCCACCACTGACCTAGAAAGTTCTATTGCAAGCAAGACTGACATCTATCAATGGAATTCATTGACCACTTAAAGTCTGTTTTAGTTCCGAAAAAACCCAAATCACAGAAAGGATTTCTATGGTGAACACAGTGGATGGTCAAAAGCTCCAACGCCATTTCTGCAGCAATGCTGTTATCATACTAGCAATATGGTCATCGAGCATGGTCTCATATAAAACTCGGCGTTTCTTATTGAAGTTCAGGTGTGTTCAGGCAATGCGCAGGTTGTAATTGATGTTCAGGACGCTTGATGTAAGAGGTCGATTTCCGTATACAGATGCTACTTTATGAAATTTATTTAAATTAACGTTCATTAATCGAGGAAATAATGGCAAATCCCAGATCAGGTGCAAAAAAAAAATCCTAAAAGACTTAAACGCCTAACTTAAGCAATAATAAAGATGATAACTACATCCTTTAAATTTTTTTGCAGATATTATTTTTATTACAACACCAAACGATCGCCTAATTATCGGGCTATAATATGGCTATTTTAAATGATTGGAACTAAGTAATTTGACAATTATAGGTAGGCGTTAGGCGCCATCTCTTAATTAAATTAATAATTAAATAAATAAATTTAGAACATTCTGGAATAAAAGAACTGACCCGGGACGGGGCTTGAACCCGCAACCTCCGCTTGCCGTGCGGTGCGCTTGCCAGTTACGCCACCCGGACCCCGAGCGAGTCTTCGCTTCCAGAAGTATATAGATTTAGATATAACCTTACTTGGTTAAATACATCACCGACTGGGGACGACTCCTTCGCCCACGACCCTAACGGTACTCAGCCGGCTAACGTAACACCCGGCGAGGTATATATATATATAAACATCAACTCACAGCCCGAGTAGATAATAACAACACCAAACGATCGCCTAATTATCGGGCTATAATATGGCTATTTTAAATGATTGGAACTAAGTAATTTGACAATTAGAGGTAGGCGTTAGGCGCCATCTCTTAATTAAATTAATAATTAAATAAATAAATTTAGAACATTCTGGAATAAAAGAACTGGCCCGGGACGGGGCTTGAACCCGCAACCTCCGCTTGCCGTGCGGTGCGNCAGCGATTCCCAACCTGTGGTACGCGTACCCCTAGGGGTACGCGATAGGTTGTTTAGGGGTACAGAAAAAAGTTAGTTATTATGGCAGAAAAAATAATATATTATGTATCACAAACTAATAGTATTAAAAAATTATTAGATAAATAATGTTCCTTGCAACAATCACAACTTTATTATACATTTTTTCTTTTAGTTTTTTTTTCTTTAATTTAAAGTTACAATATGTAAATTTAACAATACGGTTACTCACTAAATTTCTTAAATGAGGGGTACAATCTAGAGATATGACATGTCACGGGGTACAATCTAGAGATATGGCATGTCACGGGGTACACTAATGAAAAAAGGTTGGGAACCACTGTCTTAGAACATACTTCTTTCTTACAACATACTTCTTTTTTCTACACACATTTTTATACCTAATATTGGGGACAAAACACATTCGAAACAAGTGACAATCTTATCTTGAGAATCCAAAGAGTAAACTTTAAAATTACGAAGAACATTTGCCAAAACTATTTTAATTTTCATCATGGCGAGTTTACGTCCTGTAAGTAAATTATTTTAATGAAATAATTCTTTTGTTTTTGTATTTATTCACTAATCACTTACCGAGACAATTTCGTGGACCGGCAGAAAATGCCAGAAATGCATAAGGATGAAGATTTTTATATTTTTCAGGTAGGAAACGGTCTGGATCGAACACTTCGGGATTTTCGTAAACAGAAGGATTATGGTGAATGCCATAGATATTTATGACAAGACTCGAATTTGCAGGCAACGAGTAATTACCTATTTCAATGACAACGATTTAATGCTTCCAGTTAATATCAAATATAAAATATTATTATTAAAAAACAAATTCCAAAATATCAAAAATTACTTATTTTCATTTCCGAAGGATTTTTTCTTGCAATTATAGGAATAGGAGGATAGATTCTCATCGACTCTTGATAAGTGTAATATATAAAACTATTCCTTGAATGAATTAAATAAATTAAGAAGTTACCTTAATTACGCATTCCAAGTACGTCATTTTTGTCAGGTCTTCAATAGTAATATCCCTATTCATATCATTCTTGAAAATTTCTTCCAATTCTAAATACACTCTCTCTTGTATTTTGTGGAATCTTCCCAAAAGATAAAGAGACCATGACATAGCGTGGGAGGTTGTATCGTAACTCTGATATTAAAATACGTTAAAAAGAAATAAAGTTGTAAAATTGCCTTCTACATAATTTTTGTTTTCAATAAAATATATACTATATAATAAACATAAAATAAAAACTATATAATACACATTTACATTCCTGTCATACCAGTTCACAATGCGCAATCACATTGCTTGCAGCAAGCAGTTTACATATTTCTTCGTATTACTTACGACAAAATATCAATAATCTGATTTTGGGAGTTTACTTTTTCCTCTAATAAGAAAACAGTCCAGAAACTTTCAAATGGAGCCAATTGTATCCGGCGTAAATTTCGGTGGTAAAATGAAAAGGATAAAACAGTGCGTCATTTCAATTCTTCCGAAACTTATGGATGAAGCCAAAAGTAATAATATTAGTAAAATGGAGGATGGCTCCAACTGTTATTTCTCGCGGAAAACGTAATTATTGGAGATTAGCCCTAATTTAAATGAAGTGAATTAAGTGAAAATTCGACGTAAACGAAGAGATATTACAAAAAAAGTCATTAAAGTTTCTAAATAATTCATTATAACGATTCTGTTTATAATTTTAACACGGTTAACAGAATAGAATGCGATACATGTATGCCTTTGCAAACTAAGTTTCAGTTTATTAATGATACAAAAATTCTTTTCTCCACATTCGATATTATCCGATTAATTCTATGAACAAAATGTCTTCGATCGTTGGACGAAATAAACATTAAATTGTTTACAAACTGTGAAATTAGTTGAACGAAAAAGCTAAATGCACATTGTCCAGTTTGAATTGTCTACACTTACGACAACACCTTACATGTTATAATATATCGACGTGTATTTATGACATTTTCGGTTATTCTGTTATTATGGTATTGAATTATTTCGGTCATCATCTCAGACATTACTTGGTTTGAATATTTTCTATCGTGTTTATAAAAGGAATTTGATAAATTAATACTCGAAAAGATAATTTAATAACAGATAATTATCCACAAAAATAAGTTATTAATTTTTAAACTGCAATTTTACGTATACATTGGAGAAATCGCATTCGATATGAAGTCGAAAAATTAAGGCACGACTAGCCTTTTTCACCCGAATTTTCTGCTTTAATTATACATAATAATTATAATAACAATGTATAAAAATCACTAGTAGATACACATTTTTAATTTTTCAAAATTATACTTTTTCTGCGTGTATATGCTACTGTGAATGACCGATATCTGGCGAATGTCAACATTCTCTGGTGAATGTCAGCATTCACACAGTCGTTTCGTGTATGTACGAAATATTTGCTAAATATCATTATTTCTCACTTACACCGGCAAATGTCACTCAGCATGCACTGATGGTGAATGTTGAATATAAATATTTTTATTACGTTAAGACAAAAATGCAACTTTTTAATGTCAAAATAAGAGAAAACTTAAGTATCAGCACATGTAAATAAACTGTTGAACCTGAAACGAACAGTACATTTTTAATCAGAAAAGAAAAACAATACGCAATAGTAAACTCACACATATATTGTGTGATTAACGTTATAAAGTCTTATTTATTGCAACAACTTAAACTGTTATGGCACTTTGAATTGCACAAGAGTCCCTTGATTTACAACTGCATTTATTCGCAAAAAACTTTTTTTTGTAATGACAGCGTGTATAGCCTTGTCTTCCACTTTTCGAATTAGCTGCAGCTGATTCTCTTAGCGATATTTCTTAAGAAGAAATCTCATCTATGGAAAGTAACTTTTCTCTACAAATTAGGAACTGATTGCAGGTATACAGCTGCTTCAGGGTACCATTTTTGTTTGCTAATTTATAAAAGTCAAAGTTTTCTATTCCAATTACAACCGCCAACACATTTCGGGCATCTGTACGGCCACGGTTGATATCAAAGACTTCTATTCTTTGAGCAGAAGAAAATTGCGAAGAATTTGGTGACAGATCTCCTCTCTGGTGACATCGGCTTGTCGGGTGTCGTTTCGAGCTCCACCAAATCTTATATGTGCTTGTCGACATACACCGCCAATTGTGCGAATAAATAATAATATTATGAAATATTCGGTCTTTCACCGACGTAGTTTGCATGTGTCGACATTCACTGGAGAATATCGACATTTTTTAATTTTGGTCTTTCACAGTAACATATATAAATACAGAAAATATATAGTAATTAATAAACTTTTTTGTTTTATATTTAAAATTTTTTGCTATTACATTTCACATATCTATATATATATATATATATGGACGTGTGTGTCCCTATATTTCACGTTTCTGCAGAAACTACACATCGCACATGAATGCTGTTTGTATGCGGTGGTAACCCCAAGTTTCCATTCGTGCACTATGGTGGTTGCGTCTCGATAGCTATAAGGGTTCGGGAGATATGGTGATGAAAGTGGTTGAAAGTGGTTTTCTATTTCGAATGTTATGTTCGAATTTGTTCAAATTTGTTCGAATTCGAATTCGAATTGGTTCGATTATAAAACGATTGTATACGTTCCAGAAAATTGAAAAATCCAGTCAAACCTCGTTTGACTGGACGTAAAATTTTTCTAATTAGTCTGGAAACGGGAGACCTAATTCTTGCATTCTGTGAAATAGGGTAAAATTGGCTATAATGTAATTATCTTAATTTTCACTATCGTTACTTTTTGCCCAGCGAAGTGGGATTTTGCAGCTAGATTATAGATTACTTAGAAAAACAGTTTTTTATATATAAAAAAACTATATTACATACAGATAAAAACCCAGCGAAGCGGGTCCTTGCAGCTAGTTAAAATATAAAAGTACAAAATTCAAAATTCAAAACTATAAATTTTTAAATGTTAAAAAATTATAAATTATTCCGAAATTACAAATATTATTTACTTTAACAAATAATTATGAATGAAATGTAATGATTTCAAAAACATCTTAAATTAAATACAATTCCTAATTACAAGAAAGTAATTATGATTATTTTTGAAATAGGTTTTACGTTAATTATAATTTTTATCGCCGAGTTAACTGTTTTATAATTATTTTCGATTACACCTTTAATAAATTAAGTAAATTCTGCCTACCGCAAAAATTGCGCCGCCCATTTCTCTGATAACGTCTTCTTCCGATATTAAACCTTCTTTGACATGAAGATCCAACAGGGAATCGATAAGACGTTGTTTTGTTTTCATCTTTGGTTTTTCTTCATTGCGTGTTTGTTTGTCTAATGAATGGTGCTGCTGCACTTTTTTCACAAAATTTTCTTTTCTTCTCTTGAACACCTACGCATTAAATTGAATTATTAATTACTTAAACTAAAACACAAAACTCCATTCACAAGTTGAGTTTACATTTTCGTCGAAACGATGAATTATTTCGACGTCTCTCTTATAATTTTTTCCTATTTTACTTATAAAGAATATTGGGGAAAGCCAGTACATTGGATTTGCTATCCATTCAGGAAAATATGTCAGAATTCAAAAATTTAATATAAATTATTATTACATGAAAAGAAAATTTATTCTAATTTAAAGCTTGGATAAGAAGTAACGTGCTGTCAACTATTAAATCTACAAAAAATTTCAAATTATATTTCGGGTGAAAAACATAATAGAATTTTGTTAAATTGAAATAATTTAAAACATGTAAAATTTACTTTAAATCATAAATTTGTGTAGAAGTTTTTTTTTCTTTGTTTTTGTGTTCCAAATATGCAAAAAGAGAAAGTTTGCAATTATTTCTTATCGTACTTAATTAATTCTTGAAAAATATTAAAAATAAGTTATTGGACTGTATATCTTTATATTGCTATTGGATGTTTAAACGTTACGTTTTCGCTATCATAAAGACTTTATCTATAGTACTGAGGCAACAGAAGAAAAACACAGATGTATAAATACAGTAGATCCCCCTATAAGACGGTAGATACGTTCCGTTCTTTATGAATCAATTTTGTAGGAATCATAGTTTACGGACTACGGCTGTTTGAAAGGTTTTCTTTCATAAAATTAATCGATTCTAGACTAATTCGACTCAACATTTCCAAAATACGTATATTTTTTTGAAAATAATCCGTATAAACTACGTTATAAACAAAAAATTGTAGGATTGCTTACCGAGTGTGTACCGTTCGACTACGCCCGTTGCTAAAGCTTGGTTTCGTCGCGGAACAGCGCATCAAACCGCGGCCGCGATTTCTGATATTATTTTTCTGCGAAAACTTCGTTGACCTTTGGAGACATCCTTAATATAAATAATTTTTATGGCCGTTAAATAAGAAATGTTTCTTTCACAAGAAATGTATAAAATTACAGTACTGGACAGACGATAGGTCGCCTAACTCGCCGTAGCGTGACGCTAGACGGCGAAAAATATATATTTAATTATAATAAAGTTACAATAAATTAAGTTAATATATAATTATATATACAGTACCTAATTTATATATAATTAATATATAATTATATGTACAGTACCTAATTTATATATAATTATATGAACAGACGATACTAAACTCAATTTATCCGCCTAAACGTCCGTAGCGTGGCGCTACGGACAGCGGGAAAGTAGTTCGGCTGCCCCATGACGTTTTACGTATTATAGGAGTTATTTTTACCGTTGTTTACGGATACTGCCACAATTTTTTCGCCGTCTTATAGGAATCGTAACTATAGGAAACAGTTTTACAGGGGGATCTACTGTACTAGTTATTTTATGATAACCTCGGTATGCTTTGCGAAAAGTTGATCTGTCAAACATTTGTCGTGCATGTTACATTACAGATTTTCTCTCAAGTGTACGAAATACATGAAGTTTAAAACGTTATAACTGACAATTAAATTAATTTGAAAATATTTCATATATAATGAACAGATTGTATTCGTTTAGAAACTCCACACTTTTTTCTACGCATTGTTCTAACAACTCTTTATTATGATCAGCACGTATAAAAAAAACACTTTATTTATAAAGTACAAACTTATAATATTCGGTTAATTGATAAACAATCAAAATTTGAAATGTTTCGTATTGTTTCTACTGAAGTTGACACGAACATTTTAAAAATTTCATCAAATATAAACTAACTTTATATTATTTAATATCAATATTGCATTCGTAAATATCATTTGGAAAATAAAGAAATATATCTGGAAGGGAATTTTCCATACCTGTGTATTGTGGACACATATTCTTGATCGTTTGTAGTCTGAGAATGTAGAGAAACTCCTACTGCTATGTCTACATAAAAATAAATTAATATTTATATTTTTTAAAGAAATAAATATAGGTCGTTTGAGAATAATATTCAGTTTCAAGAACACATGGCAAAAGAAAGTAGTTACCCTAAAAGAAAACATTACTGGACGAAACAGAAAAACTAACAGTTAGGCCATGCAAAAACTGTCGATACACACGGATAGTTTTAATAAAAATAGCAGTTATACAAGAAATGACGTCGTCCTCTATGTCAGAATTTTATGGGACCAAGTCTGTAATTATTGTAAAACGTGTAATTGGTAAAAGAACTGTTTGAATTCCTGCCCCCATCCATTGTTAATTTCGTTGAGAGACGTTCAGTAGCTTTCTTTTGTTTCAGTGACATCTATATGTATATATATTATTACAGTATTATTTTTTAAAATTCGTTTTATACTTTTCTACGTGATGATCAATAAGTGGGCAAAATAAATATTTTACTTAATGTTTACGTATGAACAAATTGATATTTATAATTCTTAATTAAATATTTTACATTCAAAAGTAATATCTGCAATTATATCGAGGGTGCAATATTTTATCCATTCCAGAATATCGAATATTTCATTCTTCTGCAATTGTTTGAGTTTTTCCACTAAGACGTTTGAATGCTCCATAAATACATTTTGATCATCTTTCACATTCCAGAGATGAAAATGTGGAGCTAAATATTTTCTTCTTTTTCTCCAATTATCGTCAGAACTTTATTTAATTAAATTTAAAAAACTGTAAACAACGATATCTAAACTAAATATTAAATAATGTATTACTTGTACAGAAGACTGTTGTCTCCGAAAACTGGCTTGAAAAAATCATATGTAGAATCCCTCTTGATTAAACTGTTGCTTTTTAACACTTCCTACAAAACATAATACGGTATATTTCCATTCGTAAGGAATAATTACATAACTACGCATGTTTGATTACCTTTGCAGATTCTGGATGTAACAAAACAATTAATTTATATCCAAATATATTTATACAGGCAACTTTCTCGTTTGGATATAACATACAAAGTCCAGTGATAAAATTTATAGTATCTGAAAAGTTATGAAAAATATTTATGTATTTATAAACAGTGAAATTACCCAATAAAATATTATTCACATACGTATCCCGATGTATGAATTGTGGTATTGCTTGTCACGGTGAGAAAATACAATGTTCCACAAAAGTGGTAAAAAGGATACAGACGGAAGATTCATTTTTAACTCCTGGAAATTGTCTGCATTTTCTGAAAAATTATTGTCTGTTATAAAAAGTAATAAAAAGATTATAACAAGCAATTATTTATTGTGACATCGTCAAATTGACGAGCAGCAGTTCTTTATTAAAATTTTTAATTTATTTAATTTAAAATATATGCCCTCGTCTCAAATTAGTGGTTGCTTGCCCCTGTACGTCATACTTTTCTTTTAACAACAGAGTAATTCCCGTCATCTATCGAATACCTTTGAAAAAAAATTGTGACATGAAATGGCATATCTTCTGATTTTCAAAAAAAAAATTCATATATAGTTATTGCTGGCATTTTATATCTGTTAATGGAGAAAACGAGCTAAAAGGAAGAGAATCGTAACTGGTAACACCAGGGGCGGATGCAATAGGTGCGAGGCCCGTATGAATTTTTTTGCTGGGCCCCTCAAACTCTGAATGACAAAATTAATTAACAGTTAATTTACATATTGAAATGTAGATTTTAAATATTTACTTAAACAGAATCGAAATTATAATTATGAAAATCAAAAGTCATAAAGCATAAGGTAGATTTCTACTTTAAAAAACCTATATCAAA